CAGAGCTTTCATCTTCCCAAACGGAGAGGCCACTTGGCAGAGGCTCCCCTGAGTTTTCCCCTTTGGGTCGGGGGACTCTCTTAAAGGGAAACCCGTGCTGGGTTATTTCAAGTTTATCGCTTTGTCTTGAACTCCTCGATCTTTTTCATGTTTGGTTGTTGTCTCTGCTCATGTCTTTTTTTGCAGATGAAATCTACACCCCCCCCCACTCCCCCCCCCCCGCCCCCTGGAATTAGTAGATGAGACTGGTTCCTGGAGGGTGTCTCTTGCTATGACACGGAAGGCACCACTATAGCCACGCAGAGAATGCGTGGGTCACTCTTCAAAGATTCGTGGTTGGCCACCCATCTCTGACCAGCCTTTGCTCTTTTGCTCACAATGAGAGGCAAATGCCCTGCCAGTCAGAGTCTGATGTGGGTTAAAGGATTCCACCCACTCGTTTCTCCTGATCCAGTGAGACCTCCCCACCCCCAACCCCCAAACCCCATCTCAACACCATGGCATTGCTTTCGCCTTCTGCGTGGGGACTGGAAAGCCACAAGACTCTGAGCCACCACGGTCCCGGAGCTGTGGTTCCCATGAGAGGCTGAGCCCATGGCCTCGGGCTGACCCTTAGGGCCTGGGGGGCCATTCCACTCCAGCAATCGAAAGGGAAGGAGGCGAAGTAGAAGCTTGATAAAGAAATTCACTCACAGTCTCCCTGGGGCCTAACGTCAATACCTCACACTGAACGAGAACAGAACCTTAAACAAGGACACAAATCTCTCCATACACTGGGAAGGGGTGTTTGCAACCAGGAACCAGAAAGGTTCCTAAGAAAAGAACATCAGATCAAAGAATTTACATATATTATTAGTCCTTTCTTAGTAGGAAAAAAAAAGGGATTATACACCCATCAGGAACCATGGTGTAATTGTATTTATAGTCTCTAGGTGAGAAAAAAGGCAAACTTATTTCACAATTACTGAAACTAAATTGGCCCCTGGTGGGGGTGGGGGTGGGGGTGGGGGTGGGGGAATCCATTCAACTCTCTCCCTGTCCCATCATGTTGGGTGACTTTATTTCCTTCTGAAATTACTTCCATCATGTCTACTGGTTTTTAGTCTGTCTCCTCCAACTAAAATTTCAGTTCTAAACGAGCAAGATGTCTTGCCTACCTTGTTCTCTTACTGGATTCCTAGTGCCCAAAACTGTCTGGCACATAATAAATGGTCGGTTAATGACTGCTAAGTGAATGAACGGTGGGTGGGTGGGTGGGTGGATTGATGGATTGACATCGATGGATGGAAGCCAGTGAGGGATTTCTTGAGGGCTTTGATTTTGGCATTTATTGACCCAAGAAAAGATTAAACGGGGGGAGGGATCTGGGAGTGCAGCTTCGCAATGGTAACTAATCTAGAAATGATTCAACAATATCCAACAACGATTCGCTGTCCCATCCGGAAACCCCCGCTCAGCAGTGCAGAGGGGTCGTCGGCTCATTCACTGTGCGCCGCTTCCCGTCATCACCCAGGGCACCGGTTTCCTTTAACTCCCATCAGCCAGAAGCCCTGGCAGAACATGGGCTACATCCACTCAAGTAACCAGGTTTCTGCACCAAAAGTTAGAAGTGCCCAGCCTTTACCCACGGACGGGGGTGGCCCATTATTGCACAATTATCCTTTAGAACAAAGCCAGCCTAGAACAAGATTTCACATCAGCCTTTGGGGATATTGGCGGGGTGGGAAGCGGGGGGGGGGGGGGGGGGGGGGTCAGTCCAGTCTCATTAATCCTGGACATCGGTCTTCCTCACCCGTCCCCAGAGAGCAGCCCTTGGTGTGGGCCCAGCAGCTCCAGCGCTCCGGCCCGGACACATGGAGCGGTGTCTTCCACTTTGAGCAACAGCAGCCACGTCAGGAGCCGCTGGTCTGCGGGAACCACACTGGCAGAGGAAAACCTCCCAGAAGCTCCCAATTCCAAGCGACGGGGAGTCTTCCGTTTAATTTCCCAGCTCCCAAGACAATATGTCTCCATGCCCTTGGTTTTGGTCCTAAGTTCTCCACCTTATTTTGCCCCCTCGGACCCCAGGCCCAGAGCCGTCCACAGAGCAGCGTGAAGTGGGAAAAGCAGTGCCTATAAGAATCTCAGGGTTTCTCGTGCTTCTGTATTTGGATTTAAGTTGCCATTTGAAATTTTGACAATAATTTTGTTAAGAATGTGATAAAGCCGAAACCGGTTTGGCTCAGTGGATAGAGCGTCGGCCTGCAGACTGAAGGGTCCCTGGTTCGGTTCCGGTCAAGGGCATGTACCTGGGTTGCGGGCACATCCCCAGTAGGGGATGTGCAGGAGGCTGCTGATCAATGTTTCTCTCTCATCGATGTTTCTGGCTCTCTGTCTCTCTCCCTTCCTCTCTGTAAAAAAGTCAATAAAATATATTTAAAAAAAAAAAAAAAAAAAAGAATGTGATAAAACAGGCCCAGCTGGCGTGGCTCAGTGGGTGAGTGTCAACCCGTGAACCAGGAGGTCATGATTCAATTCCAGGTCAGGGCACACGCCCAGGTTGCAGGCTCGATCCCCAGTGGGGGGTGTGCAGGAGGCAGCCGGTCAATGATTCCTTCTCATCATTGATGTTTCTATGTCTCTCTCCCTCTCCCTTCCTCTCTCTGAAATCAATAAAAACATTTTTTTAAAAAAGAATGTGTAAAGTAGGAAGAAACTGTCTCATAATTTCGCGTTTTTCAGCAGGAATTAAGAAGTTGCATCATTTTGAAATGTCATTTTTATTTTTTTAATCTTTCAAGGGGATAAACAATTCTGTGGCCATTCCTGCCCAAGGCCCCTTCATGACTTGCTGGGCAGTTGGGCCCATGGCAGCAGCTCTGGGTTGGCATTCTGAGTCATGGTTGGGGCGGCACCCATGGGCCTCCCACCACCTGGCCGCCCACCCCCACGGCTCATCCTTTCCCAGGGGGACCAGGCAAATCAGTATCTTCTATTCCCAACTGTCGCCTTCAACTGGGATTGAACCCCTGAGAGATTTGACCTCGGTTTCTAGGACACTCCCATTCTGGAGGGCCAACATACTTTCATTTAAAATGATCAACACCCCTACACACACACACTAAATAAAATAAATACAATAAAGTGAGCAAGCCCTGAGCATCACACGGAGGCCCGCTTTCCTCCGCTGCACATCTGCTCCTGATCAGAGCCTGTTAGCGTGGTGCTGAGCCAGCCTGGACTGGAGAACGCCCGTCAGCCGTGTTGAACACTTAACAGCACACCTTGTAAACTTTATTGGAAGCTCGTGAGCCTTTCCCTGGCACAACCCCGACGCCTGTTCCTTCCGAGTCCCATCACGGACTCTTTTATAGTCTCGCCTGATTCCAACGGGCTGTAACTACTGTTTTACAATGTCAGGGTCATTCCCGGCCACCAGCACCCTCCACATTTAGGCGCCTTTGTCCTGTGAGCGGCGCCGTGGGCGTCCCTGACAGGCCTTGTTCTCTGGCGGAAGCATTTGCGGTGCTTCTTGCATTTTCAAGGTGGCTTGTTCCCAGGTCCCCACCCACAGTAACCCTCTGAGAATCTTAATTTTTTTTTTCAGCCAATTGTACACGAGAGACTAAAACCTGGGCGCCTGGGGTGCACCCGAGAGGGTCCCAGGGCTCTGGCGGCAGGGAGACCCGAGGCACTGAGAGCAGAAACGCTTTCAAGACACTTGGCCCAAAAGCCAGGCTTGGACGGGGACCAAGATCAGGCCACGGAAGCCTGGCCTCCCACAGCTCAACCAGCAAACGCCGGCAGACCCTTTGTGGCGAAGCAAAGACGGCATTGCTCATGCTAATGACGGGGACCGAGACCCTGGAGCAAGAAAGACATTCTTCCCACAGGTGGACAGAGGGCTGGGCCTCCAGCTGACAGGGGGCTGCAGAGGGTGGTCCGTGGGCACCACGTTGGGGCCCAGATACCAGCGCTCGATGGTGGCCCTTCACCCCGGGGTGGCGGCCCTGTGCCCAGCACACCTCTCCCTCCCGGTGGAGAGCCCCACTGCCCCACACACTCACGGCACAAGGACCCCTGAGGCTGCCTCTGTCCCTCTGCTCAGGGGCCCGTCGGCCATCCAGGCTTCAGGCCACCCGGGCCACAGGACAGCTCCCTCTGCTCCCAGACGCTGGTTTTGGAGGGCCGGCATCCCACCGCCCAGAGCACAGACACTGGTGGCCCCTCATCCACGCACCTGCTTCCTCAGTCATGGAGCCCCAGTCCTGCTTCCCCCAGGTGCGCTGGCCCGCGAGGTGCAGACCCTGCAACCAGGGCGTGTCCTAAAGGAGGCGCCCCTGTCCCCACCCGCCCGGCCGCCTGCATGTGGGTCACGTGACGGGCAGGCGCCAGCAGCCCCTGGGACCTGGGGAGGGACGCCCTGCCTGGCCCGGCAACGAGACAGCGCACCTGGGCCCGGCTCTGGGCCCCCCCCCCCCCCCCCCCCCCGGTCCGGGCGGGCATCCTCGAACTTCGTGACTGTGAGGAAGACACGTCTGTCCGCGTGAGCCCCTGCTGCTCTGGAGGCACGCACTGCGCCGTCCCGTCCGGACAACGGCACCGAGACCGCCCGCTGCGCTTCCCACACGCACCTGAGCGCCGCCTCCCAGCAGCGACACCTGGTCCGTTCCGTTGTTTTAATGATGAACCCTCATTATCTAGAGCAGCGGTTCTCAACCTGTGGGTCGCGCCCCCTTTGGCGGTCCAACGACCCTTTCACAGGGGTCGCCTAAGACCATCCTGCATATCAGGTATTTACATGACGATTCATAACAGTGGCAACATGACCGTTATGAAGCAGCAACGAAAATAATTTTATGGTTGGGTCACAACATGAGGAACTGTATTTAAAGGGCCAGAAGGTGGAGAACCACTGCTCTAAAGCCTTCCTCAGAAGCTTTGTCAGGGGATGCTAAGGAAGATGAGAGAGGACGTTGCTAACACCCGTCTAAGAAAATGATTTAAAGCCTGAAACTCACAGACAGGCCTCCCCCGGGGACGCTGCGGGTTCGGTCCCAGGCACCGGTTTTCTGGTTTCCCAGGGCGCCTGAAAGTGGTGTCATCTCCAGCGAGTCTGGGTGAGCAATAGCATCGCGTCCAAAAGAAATGTGCTCAGCTCCATCGTCAAAACGCTCTCTGCCCCAAACTGCTCACCATCCCCCTGGCCTGTTGGGAAATGGCGCCAGTGGGCTTGCTCGGCTGCCTCCAAGCTCCCGTCTGTGAAAACATCGGCGAAGCGCAGCCGGACAGGCCTCCGTGGCTTTGCTGCCAGCGGACTTTAATCACGTGGTCGGGAAAACAAGATACAGAGGAAGCACTTTGCCCTGGAGAAGCCGAAATGACGTGCAAGGTCCCGCCCCCTCTCCCCCATGTATTCAGATGGGTTTTAATAAAAGCATTAGGAAGGCAAGGCTTTTTTAAGTTATTATTTTATTTATTTACTTATTTGTTGCCAAAGTCAGAGTTTCAGGTTTCCAAGTAGCCCGTGTCCATTCTCGAAGGAACACCAGATGCTGCTCGGGGCCGAAGACGCGAGATCAGGTTCTGAGCTCCTCTCTGAGCTGAGCCAATGGGGCCCACGTGTTGATGGTACAACCACGGGCCCCTCGTGGCGCCTCCCATTTGCGTTAGAAACTTCCTCCCCAGTGTGTTCTGAAGGCTGGCTGCCATGTGGTCTTTGTGGTTTGTCTCACAGATAAAGAAATCTTTAACTAAACATTTTTGTGTACTCCAGGAAGGAAATCAATTCTCTTTCTTTCTTTCTTTCTTTCTTTCTTTTTTTTTTCCCCCTGACCAAAGGATATTTTTCCATCGATTTTTAGAGAGAGTGGAAGAGAGAGGGAAAGAGCCCCAGCTGGGGAGGAGCCTGCAACCTTAACCTGAATCGTGCCCTTGATCGGAACTAAACCCAGGACTTTTCAGTACACAGTATGATGCTCTATTCACTGTGCCAAACCTGCTAGGGCAGGAAATCAAGTATTGAACCAGAACTTGAACCGGTTACTATATAACTCGTGGTAAACTGAACCCTGATATACAGGGTGAGGCAAAAGTAGGTCTACAGTTGTGAGTAAGGGAAACACAGTTTATTCTTATTGTTAACTAGAGGCCTGGTGCATGAATTCATGCACATTGAAATTTATTAGAAGAAATCTTTTAGAGGCCGGGGAGGGACCGCAGGAGGTTGTCTCCAGGGTGTGTCCAGCCCATCTTTCCCAGTCCCGATTGGCCAGACCCCACCAGCAAGCTAACCTACTGGTCAGAGCGTCTGCCCCCTGGTGGTCAGTGTGCATCATAACGACTGATCCGTCAGACACTTAGCATATTAGGCTTTTATATAGAGAGATTATTGTGTTATTTTCCATACAAACAGCTGTAAACCTACTTTTGCCCCACTGGGATGTTTCATAGTTGGTATATGAGTTCACCTTCTAGAGTCCCTCAACAAGAAGCAAAACGAAGAGTGAAATGGAATAAAATACCCCTGGAACACGGGGTGGGGCAGAAACTGCTTTCCTAAAAGGTCGGGGTACTCCTGGGCTACACACAACGGTCGTGTCTTTTTCCATCCGCACGTGCACGTGTGCCGGGGGCGGAGTTTGCTGGAGGAGTCGCCATATTTAAAACCAGGCACCCTCCAGTGAGTCCACGTCGAAATACTGTTGCCAACACAGATACCCACAAACACAAGACACTCCTTCAGAGACGGACTGAGGCAGTGCTACTCCAGGGCCCTTTCATCGCCGTATTTAAATCCTGTTGGAGCTTTGAAACACTCAGTGCCTGTCCACCAGCAGCAGCTCCCACTGGAAAGCATGAGTGGGTAAAAGAGAGCCCGGGCTTGGGGCACTGAAAGGAAAGAGAACGAAGTCAAACACGGCCCCTGAGTGTCCCCTGGGTTCCTGTTGACCGGGGCCGGCCCGTGTGAGGAAGAGACGCGCCATCGTCCTCTCGCCCCTCGGTCCCCAGCGAAGTGTCTCGCGCAGGTGCCCGTGGTTCTGATTCTGGGTCTGAAGGCAAATCTTGTTTTCTTTGGGCTTTGCTTTCCTGTCAGAACCAGAAAAAAAAAATTAAAGTAAATAAACAATCCATGTCTTGACGAAGAAACAGCTGTGAAGTTGCACACGGGCGTAAGCCTCCAAACAAAAGAGAACAAGGGGAGCGACGCAGAAGAAGGGGTTAATTGTTGGGTTAATTGTTTGGCCCTGATCAGCACTGGGAGGGCGGACCTTCTCACACAGGGGGCGATGGTGCCTGCACCGGCCTCATCAGCGAGCTTCCCAACGACCTGGGTTCTGGGTTCCACCCATTCACTAAGTCAAAACCCCACGGCCAGGACCCGGCAGCTAGTGGGCTCCCTCTGTGATTCTGCACCACGTTTTGAGAAGCACAGAGGAAATTAACACTCTGCAGGGAGGACGGAGACGATCTAGGACCTATGGAACACCTACCATGTGCCAAGCAAAGGATTAGTGACCATCACCTACTCAGTCCCATTAAATCTTCACTGCGACCTTCTAAATTCACTCTTCGGGGCTTATTTTTAGGCGCGGCAGGCAAGGTCCTGCAGGGGCAGTGGCATTCCCAAAGTCAGGTGGCCGAGTCAATGACCACGCCCAGACCTGAAGCCAGGCCTGTCTGACTGCACAGACCACGCTCTCTACCTCACAGGACGTGTGTGTCCGACTGCGGAGTCCACGGGACTGCGCCCAGGACGGGGCCTGAGAAACCAGCTCAGCCAGCACCTACCTTCCTTCCTTCCTCCTTCCTCCCTTCCTTCCTTCCTTCCTCCTTCCTTCCTTCCTCCTTCCTTCCTTCCTTCCTCCTTCCTTCCTTCCTTCCTTCCTCCTTCCTCCCTTCCTCCCTTCCTCCCTCCCTTCCTTCCTTCCTTCCTCCTTCCTTCCTTCCTTCCTCCTTTCTTCCTTCCTCCTTCCTTCCTTCCTTCCTCCTTCCTTCCTTCCTTCCTTCCTTCCTTCCTTCCTTCCTTCCTTCCTTCCTCCTTCCTCCCTTCCTCCCTTCCTCCCTTCCTCCCTCCCTTCCTTCCTCCTTCCTTCCTTCCTCCTTCCTTCCTTCCTCCTTCCTTCCTTCATTCCTTCCTTCCTTCCTTTCTTACTGCTTCCAGAGCAGGACCTGGGATCCATGACAGCACGCGTCCCTGTCGCGGGAATGAAACTTTCAGTCATTCTCTGTGAAGAAAGTCACGAGGGAACCAGAACCCACGATTAGTGAGAGGACAGAGACGGACTGTAAAGCCGTTCTCCGCGGAGAGCTGTGAACGTGGCTGAGCCGGGTTCTGGTGTCCCACAGTCGGCATCACGGACAGATCGCTGCCTGTCCCACAGGTCAGAACAGGTGACAGGCAACCAAAACTGCCCATTTGCCCTGGCCGGTGTGGACCGGTGGTTAGAGCGCCGGTCCAGGCACCCGAAGGTTGCAGGTTCAGTTCCCAGTGAAGGGCATGTACCTGGCTGCAGGCTCGACCCCCGGGCCATGCGGGAGGCAGCCAGTCCATGTGCCTCTCACATCGATGTTTCTCTCTCTCTCTCTCTCTCTCTCTCTCTCTCCCGTCCCCGTCCACTCTCTCTAAAAGTCAATGGGAGAACATCCTCCGGTGAGGACTGAACAGGAAACGCTCTGTGCACTCCGTCCTTTCCTTATACAGTCAGGGGCCCCTGTGCTGTGTGCGCTGCCTGGGCTCTGGGTCATAAAGAAGACAGACGTCAACAAGCCCTCCCCGGCCTGACGCAGAGGACTGGCGAGTGGAGACAGCGGCCCCCACCCCCCCGGGCGTGGCGGGTGCCGCCTTTGGCATAATTCGGGGCCTCCCTGCTCTCGGCACATACGTTTCTGCCGTAAGTGCACCGGGGCGAGAGCAGCGCTTGCCGTGCCGCCTGCACTGACCGCAGCTCCCGTGCGCTCCGTCCCGGCGCCCGCTCCGGGAGGCGGGCCTTCTGCGCAGCCAGCGGCTGGGTTTGGCTTCGTAATCACGTCAAGAGGCCTTTTTAATTCCCTTTTGCTTTTCAGTGACGGAGCTGCCCTCTTTGCCTTTGTCTAAATGTGACAAACGTTGGTCTCCGTTCTGTCATCAGTGTTGATGTCAGGCTTTCCACGGCTTCCAGTCTTTTCTTCGTCCACGTGCTGGTATGTGTATTTTTTTTCCTGATAATTGGTGGGTCGGGGCCAAGCATTGCTAGGCTAGTGGGAACTCTCTTCTTGACCAGGGCTGTGCCTGAGCGCTCCCGCCTGTGGGGTGGGCCGTGCGGACCCTCCCCTGCCTCACAGCCCGCTGCCTCCGAAGGCTCCTGCGCGCTCTCAGCCTGGCCTCCCTCCTCCATTCGTCTTCCTCTCTGTCCTCGGCCCCAGCAACCTCTTACCGATGAGGGTCCGAGACAGGACCCCTTAATATAGGGCCGGGCAGGAGAGAGGAGGGAGGGAATCCGTGCCTCATCCCGTGCCGGGGGCCTGAGGGTGGGGGCGTCGGGAGGAAGGCCACATTCCAGCAAAGGTCGGGATGACGTTTAAATAAAATGGTTGAACAGCCCTGATCTCAGCCGCCCTCTCAGGTGCACATGGCCATTAGAACAGGCAGCTGCTCACATGTAAATGCTCACATGTAAATGAAAGTCGCAGTCACGCCCCGCCCGCGGGAACGGCGCTGCATGTCGGAAGCGCTGACGGCCTACAGGCATGTGGCTGCGGCCGGTGCGGCGCACAGTGGGGCGGCTCCTTGGAGAGACGTAACGGTTTCTCATAAATGGAAACACACGCCTCAGCCTTTACCCGAGAGAAGTGGGAGCACGTGTCCGTGAGGCACAGACACAGCTGTTTCCTAGCAGCTGAGCTGTAGCCGCCCCGAGCTCGAAACAGCCCGAATGTCCGTGAGCTGGCAAATGGGTCGCAGATCCTGGGCGACCCTCCCCATGCCCACCACCCACCACACAAGGGGAGGGACCGATGGCCCCTGCGGGGGGGGGGGGGAAGGGGGGTGAAACCACAGGAGCCGGGGGGTAGGGTGGAGCCCGACTTCGCAGGGACGGGGGCTGTGTTGGAGGTGATGGATAGAAACAATCCAAGCTCATCCAAGGGCGAATTTCCGAGAGAATTTGCTCTCAGAAGATCCTCCCTCAGTTACCCTGACGTCGCACGGGACGTCCTCGGGGCTGCTGCTCTGTTTCCCGGGAAATACTGTGTCGTCGGGGACAGGCCTGGCTCCACGGTGGGAGATGCCCCCACTTTCCAGCTGGGAGACGGGGGG